CCCTCAGCCCACAGGTCTCCAACCCTGTCTTAGCCCCTGGAGGGTCCCTGATGTGTACCAGGCTTGGCTTTAGGCTGGCTGTAGGGGACAGAGCACAGATCCTACCCCTGCCACTGCTCCCCGAGTGATTTTGGGAAATCTACATCACTCCCAGGATCCCCAGTATTTATTCTCACATGCAAATGGGCATCATCTTAGCCCCTCCTGCTTAGTGTGGTGGGGAGGATTAGGTAGGTTAATACATTGTGTCCCAAGGCTCACTGCAGTTTTAAGCTTTAATAACTTCAGAAATATGAATGCTAAAAACTTTATTTCAAAGTGTCACTATTTATGCCAGGCCTGATGGCACACACCTATAATCTCAGATACTTGGGAAACTGAGGCAGAAGGATCTCAAGCTAGAGCCCAGGAGTTCGAGACCAGCCAAGGCAACACAGCAAGACCGCATCTCAAAACAAAGAGAATGTTTCGCTAGTAAATTTCTTGTATATTTATTTTTTGAATTGTGAAGTTTTTAAAATTTTTAATTGAATTTAAATAATGTAATCCTTCCAATGATGTTTATAAGCTTGAAGCATTTATATGTCTGAAAGAACTCAAGCTTAACCTTGCACTAAGACTTTTGGGACACTCTGTGTATGAATCCCACTTAAAAGAATGCCAGGCACGTGGCAAGGCCGGTTAAGTGCTGGTGTAAGGCTGCTGAGAAGATGCAATCAGAAGCTACATGTGAAGTACTCAGCTCTGGGTGCCTGGTCCATAGGTGCTCAGCACTAGCTGGCTGGGATGATGGCCGCTTGGCTCAGATGTCCTGACAGGAAGCTGAGCGCCTCTGTGCAGAGAAATGCTGCTCACCTCCCAAGAGGGGGAAACTGAGCAACATGCTGGGGAATCTCTGACATGAAGAGGGGGGCACCTCAGTGAAGATGGCATGGAGGAGGAGCTTGGCAAGGGACTGCCCCCATTGTCCAAGGTGGCAGCACCTGGGAAGGAGCTGCCTGGATCTGCGTGCCTATACTTGCCAGCTCTGGGTAAACAGTAAAAGAAGCAGGGCAGCAGGGGCCCCACACTGGGCAGGGAGGGGTATGGGGGATGCCAGCCAATAGGCTTGCCTCCCACTGCCCCATGAAAGGGCCATTCAGTTCAGGCCGTTCCTGTGGCAACAGGGAGACTCGAAGCCATGTGAGTGCCCGTCCTGTCCCTGTCTTGCGCAGCAAGGCTACGACCCAGGCCCCAGCCCACTCTCCAGCCCAGGGTGCATTCTGAAGCCTCCAGGAACAGCTGCGCCAGGTAATGGCTTTCAGGCTGTGTTCCCACCTGAAAGGTGCTGGGATCTTCAAGAGTGAAAATAGGTGTTGGGGGAGGGAACAGATGTGAAAGGCCACAGCCCAAATAGAGACCCCTGCGCGAGATATGGAAACTGTAAGCCCAGATGTCAAAGCTTCCAAGCGGTGTTAGTGACATCACCACTTCTGGGGCTGCTGGGGGGGAGATCGGGCAGTTGCCAGAATGGAGCAGACAGAAGAATGGGGATCTGGGAACCCTTCTTGGGATTCTTTGGGCCAGAGGTGTGGCTGCTCCTCCACCCCCAAGCCTTCCAGGGCTGTCTACCCTGTCTGCTGTACCTTGGTTGGCCCCAACACTTCTGCTTCATCAGCAGGGCTAGGAGAGGTCACAGGCTTGGGGCACTGCAAGCAGAATACCAATTCCCTGGGAGCCTTAGTGTGGGGGAGGGCAGGGGGGAGGAGCCATGAGCTCATACCCTGGAGTAGGTCATATCTGATTGGCTGCTCTGCCGGGTGTCCCAGAACCCAGCTCTTGAGACCTGGAGTCTCTTTGACTTTGCATTATTGATGCAGTTCTCCAAAGCGAAATAGAGCAGCACTGAACTCCCCACCCCTACCCCGTACCTCTGTCTGTCTCTCCACCCCTACCCCATCCCTCTGTCTGCCTCTCCCTGTGGTTTCCCTCTAACCCTGCATGAGGTCACCCCCCAGTTATCTTCTCTTAGGAAGCAGTGAAAGCTGTGAGGTGGGAGCTAAATGGGCAAAGGAGTATACATGAAGGGGTGGGGGTGGGGGGTCCCTGTACCAATGTGGGAAAAGGGTAGACAGTAAACTGGATCAGGCCTTTCTGATGCCAGTCTGGACTGCAGATTGCTGGAGGTCTCTGGGAGGATCAAGGAGCACTGTTCTGAAGCCTGTATGGAAGTTCCCACCTGCTCATCTCCTATCCCTTCCCTACACCCAAGCCTTACATGGACTGGAGTTCTAGAGTTTTCTCCCAAGTCCTCAGTATTTGGGGCTTGGAATCAACTTCTCTCTGCCCTGATGGGCTGAGTTGCTAGTTTAGGGGAGGCTGTGGGCTGCCCAAGCCAGTGCTGCTCAACAGCTACATGTCTGCCCCCTGCCTGCTTATCTTGAAAGGGGATTCAGAGGAAGCCTGGGACCCTGGGCTGAGGTCAGAGGCCAGCCAGACGGGAGACAGACAGCTCTGACATTATTATAGACCTACAAAGGGAGGAGCCAGGCTGTGGGCAGGGACTGGGGAAGGATATAATAACCACTGTCACTGCAGAACCCTTTCACGGGTTATTATCTCATTTATTCTTCACAACCACCCCATGAGGTAGGAATAGTGTGATTATTATACTCATTTACACGTGAGGAAGTTGAGGCTCAGAACGGTTAAATGATTAGTGTAAAATTTCCCAGCTAGTCTGTCAACAGATGAGTCATACTAGTCGGAGAGTCCTGGATGGCTCTGCCTCTGTCCCCCTAGGGAGCTCCCCCAAGAGCCCCTGAGGCCTTCAAGGAAAGGGGCCTGCTTCTATTTGCTCCCCTCTCCAAAGGGCCTTTGCCACTCCAGCTCTACTAGAAAAATCCTGCATATTTAGACTAATAGAAGGATTCTAGGGGTCCCCAATTGAGTCTACATTTGATGGCACATAGTGCCTTAAGGTTAAGTGGAAAGAGCTTTGGGCAGGACTCTGAAAGACCTGGATTCCAACCCTGGCTCTCCTAGTGTGTGACCATGGGCAAATCAGCACCTCTAAAACAGAGAGGTTAAGATGCATGATTCTCTAGGGCCCTCCAAGTTCTACATTCAGCAATTTCTGTGATCACCAGACCCAACCCAGCTACAAGAACTTGGAGGGCCTGGGAGTGCCACCTGCAGTGCAGTATTTTGGACTCTAGGGGGCCACCTTTACACAAGTGAAGTATTGCCAAGAACAATTTGGGAGCCCTGTTGATGGGGGAACCCCTGGGCAACCACAGGGCCCTAACTCAGAACAGAAGACTTAGCTCAGTGAAGAGGATGTGTACCACACACAGGTCCCCCCTACCTTAGACCATGTAGCAGGTGCCTGTGTCCAGGGAAGAGCCCTCAGATATGTCTGGAGATGGAGTTCTAGCCTCCTTCCTCTCTGCCAAATGCTCACTCACTGCCTCCCCTGCCCATCAACCTTCCCATTACCCATAAGCATCCTTTTCCTCATGAAGGATCTGCCTAAATGGTCTTCAGACCTTTCCAGGCAGACAGTCTATGATTCTCAAAAGACTCCTGGTCACCTAAGTCAGAAGGGAAGGAAGTACCCTTAATTCTTGTAATATCCAGCCTTCTCAGTCCTGGGGCTGGGGGCCGAGGTAGCCCTCAACGCAAGAGTTTCTGCATATGCCAAGAGGACCCAGACAGAATTTGGGCTGGAAGACAGTGCATAGCTTGGGGGATTGCAGAGGTCAGGCAACCACTGCTTGCTTATTTGGGTCTCTGAGGGGAGTACTTGGAGTAGCCAGGATGTGCTGAGACTGATTTCTGTGAGGTGTGAATGCACAGGCACGTGTGAGCCCATATGAGTCCATGTGTCCATACGTGTGCTTCTCAGTGGCCAGCCAGCATCAGGTGGAAATGGACAGGGTGGCCCCTGGTAAGCTGTGAGGTTCTGGCCCAGCTGGGACAGGGAACAGGCACGTGGGAGCCTGACACTTGACAGAGCCCTCTAATGACTGCTTTCTTTATCTTTCAGCCCATGAGGCTCCCAGTCCCCACTGAGTGCCGCCCTGAAGGATGTCCCAGCTCTCCTCCACCCTGAAGCGCTACACGGAATCAGCCCGCTACACAGATGCCCCTTACGCCAAATCGGGCTATGGCACCTACACCCCCTCCTCCTATGGGGCCAACCTGGCCGCCTCCTTCCTGGAGAAGGAAAAGCTTGGTTTCAAGCCAGCCCCCCCAACCAGCCTCCTCACCCGTCCCCGCACCTATGGCCCTTCCTCCATCCTGGACTACGAGCGAGGCCGCACCCTGCTCAGACCTGACATCATGGGGGGTGGTAAGCGAGCAGAGAGCCAGACGCGTAGCACTGAGCGGCCTTCAGGCAGTGGCCTCAGTGGAGGCAGTGGATTCCCTTATGGAGTGACTAACAACTGCCTCAGCTACCTGCCCATGAGTGTCCGTGACCAGGGGGTGACCCTGGGCCAGAAGAAGTCGGACAGCCAAGCAGACCTGGCCCGGGATTTCTCCAGCCTCCGCACCTCAGACAGCTACCGGATAGACCCTGGGAACCTGGGGCGCAGCCCCATGCTAGCACGCACACGGAAGGAGCTCTGCGCCCTGCAGGGGCTCTACCAGGCCGCCAACCGCCCTGAGTACCTGGCCGACTACCTGGAGAACTATGGTCGCAAGGGCAGTGCACCTCAGGTGCCCACCCAGCCTCCTCCCTCACGAGTCCCTGAAGTCCTCAGCCCCACCTACCGACCCATTGGCCGATACACACTGTGGGAGAAGGGCAAGGGCCAGGCCCCTGGGCCCAGCCGCTCCAGCTCCCCAGGGCGAGACACCATGGTGAGTTTACCCTTGGGGACCGGTGATGGGCTGGGGAGACAGCCACTGCTGTAAAAGAGCCAGGTTAAGGGTAGGATCCCCCACCTGCAAGATGGTAGATGGCAGCACCGCTACTTCTGCAGCCCTGGTGTGGAAAGGCGAGGGTAGTCAGGTCTGGCATGTCTAGTGCCCTTGAGGTTCCATGCTGAGGAGAGGGGCTTTGCTGCTGTCCCCAGGAAGCCCACTCAGGACCTGTGCACTCAACAGTCCACAGTGTTCTCAGGAATGCTCAGCTACCCTCACATACACTGCTGGTCTCATCCTCTCCCTTTCCACTCAACTTGCCAGGGTCTCCCACAGGCCCTGCCCCATCCTGGGCTGGATGCTGGGGCCCCCACACCACCAGCACTCCCTGTGACAAGAAAGGCCTCTTTGCCGTCATTGCATCTCTTCTGCTCAGGCTTTATTCCCCAGCCCTGGGCCATGAGAGGAAGAGGGGCTCCCCTCTGATTGATACTGTTATGCTCAGGACCAGGATGTGTGAGCAGCAGTACTTATGATGTGTCTTGGGAAAGAATCGTGGAGAAATGTTTGTCTAGGGCTTGAGACAATTCAATAGCTCTATATTCCAGTACTTTCATGGCTGGAATGAGGGAAGAGGCTCTGCTGGAGACTGATCAAGGATTGGCCTGGCCTTAGCTTGCATCTAATCCTTGAACACATCTTTCCTGGGGAACTAACTACATTCTGCCTTTTCTGTAGTTAGGAGTGCACCCATCAGGTGGAAAACTCTCAGAGGATGAGAAAGAAATCGTATCTCTAGATCCCTCACCATGTGCCTTGTATGGCACGGAACTCAGCTGACCTACACATTGCATAGATAAATAGGTGGGTGGGTTGATGGATAGATGGATGAGTGGATGGGTGGATGGAAGGATGGACAGGTGGACAGGCAAGCAGGCAGGAGGGTTGGGTGCTATGTCTCCTCCACTACCTTCTGTACCCCTCTCTACTCCTTGGGCATGTGCCTTTTGGAAACAAACACTGTGCCACAGCAAAAAAAAATTGCTGCTTAGAGCTTATCCAGACAAATGGAACAGGGGCAGGTCATTGAGTCATAGACCTTGAAGCTTGTTGTAACTAAAGGTCTTGAGGAGACAACTTTGATCACATAGAGAGTCTCTGCCTTGCCGGGCCATCTGTGAAGTAGTGCCATGGGAGATTAAAAAAGCTGGTACCTCCCAGGACATTCAGACCCTGACAAGGCAGGGTTGACTGCCCTGGACAACTAGTGTAGAAAGATGTGGGGGAATAGATTTGTGTCATAACAGAGCTGGCGTGGGAGAGAAATATGTTTTTAAGGGGCACTGTGCCATGCTTGGGGTGCAGCAAGAGTCACTTGGGCATGCCTGGTATTATTCATCCTGGGGGCAAATAGAAAGCCACTCTCTGTGGAGGGGTTGGGTCCTAGAAGCCTCTGAGGGGCTCCCTCCTTTTGCTTAGAAGAGAAAGGTTCTTTCTGGTAAGCAGGTGGAGTCTGCAGACTGCCTGTATCAGAACCACCTGCAGCGCTTAAGGATTTACCCAGACCTGCTGGATCAAACTGTTTCAGGACAGTGCTTGGAAATCTGTACTTTTTACAAACTCTTCAAGTGATCTTTAAGCATGCTGAGGTTTAAAAACCACCTTGCCACACACAAAACTATGGAGCCATCCTCAGCCCCAATCCTGAGAGCAGGGTCCTTCTTTACTAGGGGTCAGATTCCACTGGAAATCTGCCTCCTTCCCACACAAGTGTCCCTTGAGTCTGCTGCTGTCCACCCCTCCAACGGAGATACCCTAGCCCCACCCCCACCTCCAAGGTGAGGGGAGTTTGAGAGGACCTCAGAGAAGTAGCAGATTGCCACTCTCATCCAACAGCAATTCCCCACACTCTTAAGTAGCCAGGAAGGCCCTGCTGTTGAGCTAGTGTCTCTCTCTGAGCTCATGCTCAAAAGATACTGCTAACCAGGAAAGGCCTCTCAGGGGTCAATGGCATAAGACCTTTATTTAATCTCACCCTTCTCATCCTTACTTTCTGGAGCTAACTGCATCTGGCTGAGGTAAGAGCAACCCTGCTCAGGGGGCCTGCGCCCATTCTTTCTAAAACCAGGTATAGCTTCTTTTCAGATTTCCATTTGAGGATCTTACCTTCTAATTCATTCATTTACAGTGCTCAGCTTACTAGCAGCAGAACCTCAGATAGGTTCCTTAACTTCTGAACCTCCTCTGTGAAATGAATGATCACAGTTCCCTCTTCATAGATGACTGTGAGGAATCAGAAGGGAATTGCGTGGAAGTGGCTGGCAAGTTGCAAGTGCTCTGTAGATGTCAGTCCTCCTTGCACTCTTCCACATGCTCTGGGAGGCAAGAGATGTGCAGGCCATGGTGCCTTTCCCCGATGCATTCACAATTCACTGGAGGAAAAGCAGGTTCTTAAATAGTTGCAACAAGAGACAGCCCAGGGTGTTTTTAAGTGTCGTAGACGGTATGAAAGAGAGGAGGTCATTTGAGTGTAAGGAAAGGGAGGAGGTCATGTGAGGCTAGGACGGGCTGCTCGTGATCAGGGAAAGGTACAGTTTGCCTCTTTAACCTTGGACACCTATCAGCTGGGCTGTACTTTCTCTTGTATAAAAGGGAGTGATTACACCTGCCCTGCCCACCTCACAGGGATGCCATGAGGCTCAAAGCAAATAATGTGGAGGATGCTAAAAGCAGTAAAATCCTATAGATAAGTTCATTTAAACTTGCGGGGGAGGGGGTGCGTTTGGGACTTTGGAAGCCAAAGCAGAAAGATTGCTTTGAGGCCAAGAGTTTGAAGCCAGCCTGAGCAAGAGCAAGCCCCCTGTCTCTACAAAACCCAGAAAAATTAGCTAGGCATGATAGCAACTGAGTCCTAGCTACTCAGGAGGCTGAGGCAGGAGGACCACTTTAGCCCAGGAGTTTGAGGGTGCAGTGAGCTACAGCGACACCACTGTCCTCTAGCCCAGGTGACAGAGCAAGACTATCTTAAAAAAAAAGAAAGAAAGAAAAAAACCTAAGGGAGGGGAAGCTGATAGAAAGGGGACACTTGGCAGATGACTAGACTGGGGAAGGGCCCCCTATGGAAGGAACAGAGGTGAGAAAGTACATCCTGTGATCCTGTGGCCGAGGGGGCTCTCAGGGTGCCTGACTTGAACCACAGTTGGCATTCATAAAGGGAGGCCAAAAGCAGGCCCTGACCAGGGTAAAGAACAGTTCTAACCAAGTCTCATTTGCCTCTTTAACAGTAACAGCCAACATGAACTTGGAATATCACATACTCAGCTGAGCATGAGGGAAGAACTGGCAGGGGCGGGAGAGGGGGCCACATGAATTCTGAATAACCCCATCCCATGCTTGCGTAAGCACCAACAAATCATCAGTCCACAGGCAGGGTAGCTCAGCATTTGGATAATGAGGGCCTGCCCTGAGGCTCCAGCTTCTGCTTAAAATGCAGTCTGAGAGAAGGGATAGTGATGGTGGGAGAAAAAGCTTTCACTACCCCCAGTGGGGACTGCAAGCCAGCCCAGGTGGCTCAGCCTTGCAGAAAGCCAGAAGCCAAAGTACCCAACCCTGTCATCTCCCTCTCTGCCCCACCTCTCCTGTTCCTGCCCCACCTCTCCTGTTCCCAGGGCCTATGGAAGGACAAGCTGTTCCCACTGAGCCCTGCCAGGGCTGTGCTTTAACCCCTACAATCCTTCCTAATCCTCCTCCGCTCCACCCCTCCAGCTGCTCCCTCCCTAGCCCTGGCATTCTGCCCACTGGCCTCAGCCCAGCCCTCACTCCGCCCTGCCCAGGTTACCCTCTCCTCTCACGAAGAAGAGCCAGGGATTGGCCCAGAGCCCTCCAGAATACAGTCAGCAGGCTGGGCACCTGCACCCCAGAGGCAGAGCCAGGGACCTGGGCCCGGAGTCTAGACCAGCCTCCTCCCCACCCATCCTTTATACACCCTTGCTCTCTGCTCTAGGATCTGTTCTAAAGCAAAGGGTCTGGGAACCTGAGTATCTGGGTCCTACTTGCACTGGGGCTGCTGACTCATCTTCTGAAGCCTTGGGTTCCAGCTGTTCAGTGACAGGGAGATTATATAAGCTGAGGTCATGTGATTTCTCTCTCCGGTGGGACTTTGGACTCGAATGCTGCCCTGCAGTGAGTGGAGGTTACTCTAAAGAGAACAAGCTGAGGATAGCAGGGGCTGCCCCAGAGCTCCTGGGTGAGAAGTGTGACCTTCCTCTCCTGTCCCTTGCCTCTCATTGTGTTTACTTAGCCACGCTGGACTGCATCCCTGCTCTCGTTTTGCCCAGCTTGGCAGCCTGAGACCCTAGGGCCTGTCCTCACCCACTCCCATGCCAGGCTCACTCAGCCACCCTGAAGAGGCTGAACTTCCAGAGATCTTGAATCCATGTTGACAACATGAGAAAAGGTCCCTCAGAGACCTTAAGCCAGAGGGTTTCCATGGCCAGGAGTAGTACTAGGTGCTAAGAAGGAAAAGGCAGTCAGTTTGTGGTTTGACAATCAGCATGACACTGATGGCTCCCTCGAGATGGCTAAGGGCTGTACCCTGGCTGGTAACCTTGGTGCTGCCTTACTCAGGCTCAATTTCTCAATCAGTGCCGGCCTCCTGCCTCCTCCTCCTCCTCCACCCCCTCTCCAGGATGTCTCCATGAGTTAATGTGGTGCTGGGGCGGGGCTCAGCAATGCAGAAGTTAATCCAAGCCTGGCAAAATGTTCCTTGCCCCTGGGGGAGCCGCTCCACTGACCACCAGCTTCAGAAATGAACATCATGTTCAGAGCCCAGAGCTGTACACGTGGCCCCTGGCACCCTCTTACCTCAGTGGATACATAAAACTGGTACCTCAGACAGGTATATGCAAGCGAGGGAAATGTGTTAGCAGGCCTCTGTAATCCAGTTGGTTCAGGCCAGGCTGCCTGGAGCTCAAAGAAATAGAAAGCTTTGACTTCTTGGGGTCCAAGTCATCCAGGGAAGCTTCCTGCAGACAGTGGGGAGGATGGGTTAATCCTCTCTCTCCAAGAAGCACTGTGGGCTGAGAGCCTAACCCCTAAAAAGGACTCAGAGCCCCTACCCTTTAAACCATCTGTCAATCAGGCCACTGTTCTGTCCCTATGCAGTGGTAATAGCAGGCATATTCTGGGAGCCGAGCCTTGAGACATTTGCCTAAGCCGGAGCGGTGTCCTCTAACTCTGGACCAAGCTTCCCACTCAGATCTGAGGGAGGCAGGATCCTCTCAGTCCCTGCCCTCACACAGCTAGCTCTGACTTTATTTTACTCCATCTCATGCCAGGAGGGATATAAAGTGACGAAAACAACTTTTCCTCCATGAGAGGCAGGCTGAGCCCAAGCTCAGAAATGGCGGTCTCCGGCAATAAGAATGAGCCCAGCTCAGATTAGCTCAGAGCATCGGAGGCACAGAGTGTCACGGAGCCAGAGCCAGACTGAGACGCTAGAAGACTATATCTTTTGTACCCATTCCATTTCGAGAAAGGGCACTGAGGAGACAGGGTCTCCTAGGGACCTGGCTAATTGAGAAATGGGCCACAGTTCTCTGTGGGCTTTGTCCTGCAGCAGGCAGACCTGCTTGATGGGACTGGACCCTATGTGAGTTCTTTCCCTTTACCGCAGACCTCCCTAAAGTGCTGTCGTGCTAGAGTTTTCCCAGTCCAGGCCTCCCTGTTCCCAGCAACACCCTAAGTTCCTGCATCCCAGGAAAGAGGGATAGCAAGCTGGCAAAATGCCAAGATGTCCAGGGAAGAGGAGCGGGAATGCTTACATACTAGGACAAAGCAATGAAAGCTCTGTACTCTCATGCAGAGACAGGTCAAATGCCAGTGGGTGAGTACCTCTTGGGCCATGCCCTTCCCACCCTCCGCTCCCCTAGTGGGCTTGCTTAATATGCAAAACCAGATTCATACTCCACCCTCTGAGGCTCAGTGGGATTTCCAGGATTCCTGGCAGAGCCTGGTCTGCCGCCTTTAGGGAAAATATCAGCACCACCTATTAAGGATCCACTAAGAGAACCCACAAGCCTGCTCTTGAGGAGCTTTCAGTGTGCCGGCACAACCAAAACAAGCTGCCCACAGTCTAAGACCATTTACAAAAGTCTTAGAGACACTTACGAAATGAAAATAAACATATGAAGATAAATTAATACTGCTCATGCTGACAGACTGGGGATATGCAATAATGGGGTGTTTAGAGCTAGGTGGAGTTCATCAGGAAAGATTTTGTGGAAGATGAAAGTTTTGAGCACAATTTGCAAGTAAGTAATTGGCAGAAAAGAAGAGCATCCCAGGATTTCCTAGTAGTTGTTAAAAGCATGGGTTTTGCTGTAAGATAAAACCCGTGACCTCTCTGGGCTTAAGGTCCTTCATCTATAAAAAGAGTTAATAGTTAGCACATCATGGTGTTATTATGGAAATTAATTGGGATAATATATATAAAGCCCTTAGCCCAGTGCCTGGCATCTAATAAGTACTTCACGAGTGGCCGTTTTGTTTGTTAAGCAGAGGCTAAGAGCAGGAGTCAGAGGACGGTGAGGGTGGTGACAATGGAAGGGGTATGGACAGACAGCCTCACAGACAGGGTACCTGAGGCTTCTGGACTGGATGCAAGAGACATGTTCTCTAGTTGTTTCAGGGCAACTTTCAGTTGTGATCAGAAGCAAACATTGCCGCTGACGGTGTAGGGCCGGCTTGAAAGGGTGTAGCTAGAAAGAAAGACACTTTCTTATCCCGGGTTCAGGTTGGGTCAGAGTCTGGGTGAGAACAGGGTCTATAGAGATGGCCCCTCCTAACATGCCCACCCTGCTGCTCTTACCTCCTGCAGCCTCCCTCACCACTGCCAGTAAAGCGAAAGGGAGGAGGTGACGGTTCCCACTCCCCTTTGATTAGCTGGAAATTGCTGCTTTGTGGATAGCGAGGGTACAGCCCATACATGTGTCCCAGACACATTCCCCATGTGGCTGTGGTCATGTGTGCAGTGCGCCTGTACATGTGGGGATGAGCACACCAGAAGGAACAGAAGGAGCCCACAGATGAGTAACAGCATACACTGCTGCCTCTCAGGGTATTTTTAAATGCTAAAAATATTGGCTAAAAATAGCCAGCAAGCTCCAAACAAGATACTTTCTCTAGGCAGATTCGTGTGCTTCCCTGTTAGGTGAAGGGGCAGAACATCAGAAGTAAAACCCAAAGACCCCTGACCCTCAAGCATTGCAGTGCTTAGGGTAAGAGTAGACATTCACCCCCACACCAGCTGAACCCCTGTTTCCCCTCTTACTTTCTCCCCACTTAGCAAAAGCAAGTCAAATTTGAGATTCTGTGAAGGACAGAGCTGGGTAATTGGTTAGAAGCCATTAAAGGTTCTTGACAAAAGGGACAGGGACCTATTATCCTTCAGAATATGAGCACTGCCTTTCTTAATTATGAGTGCAACTAGGGCTGGAGGTATGAGGTGAGCTCAGTCCTGAGGCAATGGAAATCCATCTTCTTAACCTGGGCCCATCCACCTCCATGGGCTATGTGGACAGTAAGCTTCAGGAAGACCTGAGTCTCTGCTGACTGCCAGACAAAATTTGTGAATATGCGCATTTTGCCCTAAAGAGAATACAGAGCTTTCATCAGGTTATCAAAGTTAGGAATTGTTTGCTGCCTTGGGGGAAGCTCACCCGGTTGACATTTGGTCTCGGGGAAGTGTCCTCTGCGGGGGGCCCAAGGATCATTTCTCCTGAACCCCAACCCAAGGCCAGCTTGGACCTCGGGGCTTCAGTCCTGCCTGCTCTGCGAGCTGGCCTGGCTGGGGGTCAGCGGCCTGAGGAGCACCGGGGCGTGGGGGAGGAGACCGACCGGAGGCGCGGGGGAGCGGTCCCTGCAGCCTTGCTCAGGTCCGCGTGCCGGGTCCGGGGGCGGGACGGAGGCGGGGCGGGGCGGGGCTGCGGTCCTTGCCCCGCCCCCTGGCTGACGTCGCGGGGCCCGAGGCGCCGGCTAGGCTGCCAGTCTGCGGGAGCGTGAGAGCCAGGCTCTGACGGTTGGCGGTGCGCGCCGGGGAGGTTGAGGCGGAGGAGCGCGCGGCCGGGCCCCGCCGTAACGGTTACCGCCGGACGCCACCGAGAGTGTCCTGTGGCGCCCTCGCCAGCCTTGGCATCCGGGCTGTGGCACCGCGCGGGCACTCCCCCCACCTCCCGCGCCCCTTTGCCAACGTTAGGCGTGAAGCGGTGCCTGCCACCCGACCCCCAGCATGCGCACCTCGTATACCGTGACCCTGCCCGAGGAGCCCCCCGCCGCCCCCTTTCCCACCCTCGCCAAGGAGCTGCGGCCGCGCTCCCCTCTCTCCCCGTCCTTGCTGCTCTCCACCTTCGTGGGGCTCCTGCTCAACAAAGCCAAGGTACGCGGGCCCTTTTCTGGGACCCCCACGCAGACAGCCTGGGGTCCCGTCTCCTCCCTGGACCCCGCCGGCCCGCCACGCGCCCCTCAGCGCGGGGGCGGATTCTTCCCAGCCCCCACCCCTCCTTTCCCAGGGTCTCCTGGCAAGGAATGCCCCCTCCCCAGGTGATCGCACGCTTATTCGCAGTCCCCTCCCCTTGTTGAGGTCCCACTCCTTTAGTCCCACTTCCCCTCTCCTCTGTGATCCCAGCACCAGGTGGCTCTTGGCCTCTTAATTACAGGCACCTATCAGGACAGGTGCAAGAAAGCGTAACCTTGACTGGGTCTCGGTAGGTGTGTGAGGGCAGCATGCTGGACTCTGCCCGTGGAGACTCCTCCAAGGCCAAACCCCAGCAAGAAAGGCTGGTCAGAAAGGGGCCGCCTTCTCTTCTCTGTACCCCAAAGGGCCCTCTCCCAAGGGTTGGTGATAGGGGTCTTTTGACCCTGTGAAGGGCAGAGGAGTTGCAGACAGGTGAAAGAGGGCAACTGCCCTTTTCTTCCTGCCCCTCTCCAGTTCTGTGAAATGGGTGATGGATCCCTCAATGGAAGTAGCTACCCCAGAGTTATGCTGGGGCTCAGGCTGGGCACCACCCCTAGGAGAAGGGAGAGGGGCCAGAGCTTGACAGGTCTTATGTAACAGGCACCAGCTCCCGTGTTGGCAGTGCGTGCCCTGCCCCGTGCCAGGGCCACACCAGGCTTCTTGGCTGCAGCCAGGATTCTTGGCTGACCCTCACCACACAGGTGAAGTAAGCAGGAAAGCCCTCCACTGGGGTCTTAAGTGCAAAGACACAAAGGTCCATCAGCTTTTCTTATGGCCCACATGCTGCCTGCACATTAACCCAGGGAGGGCTCTCCTGAGCTCCCAGTTGCCCACTGGAAGATGAACGCTGTCTGTTTACTGATTGTGGAGGTGGCATCTGCTCTCAGAATAGTGCTTGCTACTGGGTCAAAATGAGGTTTGATAATGGCTGAATGTAAGGAAGCCCTGGGTTCAAACTTTCTCAACTCTTGCACATGTGTCCCGGTGTAACAGCTGGAGTCATTTCTTTCTGTAGCTTCAGGAATAAGAGGCTGCCTGGGCAGGGTTTCCCACCTTCTCCAGTTCTAGCCTCCTTCCCCAGTCAGCCCTGTAGGATTGTTTGCCCCGTAAGAAAGGTCACCCTGGGGACATTTTGTTCCTCTCTGGAATGGAAAGTGCTGACTTTCCCTGGAGCTCCTGATTTCCTATTCTTGGCAGAAGACTATCTGGCTGGGCATAGTGCAGCCTTGCTCTCCCCTCCACTGGTGCCCCCCAACTCCTGTCACCCACAGCCTTCTACAAAGAGCACTGAGAAATTGGCCCATGGTTTTGAGCTCAGGAAATTTTAGAAAAAGCTACCACCCTCTATCAAAAAAAAAAAAAAAAAAAAAAGGTCATAATGATGCCTTAAAGGAGCCTCTCCATCTCCCCAGGCCAGTAGAAATATTATATCCTCAAGAATTGTAACTAGTGACCTTGGGTGATAAAATGTTCTTGACCCTAACTCTGCTGGGTCAGCGCTAAATGTCAACATCTTTAGAACACCGCAGGAGTCTTCTATAGACAGATGACTCCAGTTTCCCATTTCTCCATCGCCCCCACCGGTGCTAGGTGACTGTTCTCAGTTTAGGGCCTGCTTTGGTGGACATTTTCTGGTCATCCATGGTAGAATGCTTTGTTTCTACAGCCTGCTTAGACAGATATCGTCTGAGGCAGGGGGGTAAGAGCTAAAGCACTGCCAAAAATAGGTGTAAGAGTGGGCAGTCTGATATGGCCATGCAAGCTTTAACCTTTAGCTCTGAAGGGGCAACATGGGGACTTCTGCAGCATTGTGGATGGGCTCTGGGGAAGTCCTTTACCTGTTCTACTGAAAAATGTCAATAAGGTCTTTGTCCTAAGGAATTAGCTCTGTGGTGACCGCTTGCTGGAACATCAGGGTTTAGAGTGTCAGTAAGGTAAAATTCAAGTGTTGTTTGGAGCTGTATACTATTAGCCCTGGCCAAGTTCTTCAAGGGTGCTTACACCCCACCTGCTGCCAATAGGCTTTTTTCCCTAGCTGCAGGCTTAACCCAGGTCTCTCTTTCTGGTTATATTTTCTTCCCTACCTGTTAGTGCTAGACCTGACAACTGGCCAGGGAAGGGATCCTCTTACTTGTGGGATCGGCAAGGCAGTTCTTGAGAAAAGCCCTCCTTCATCCTGCTACTCCCCCCTCCCTTGAGCTGACAACCTCATGGGCTTTGAGCTGCTGACAGCCTCATAGGCTGTCAGCACACGGCATGAGTAATTTTAGCTGAGTTATTTCAGGCTCCTGTTCTGATCAGGGTTGAGCTGGCCCCACGCATGCCCCAGCCAGTGTTGTTCCAGAGTTGCCTGCACTCAGGTCCCCTCCCTGAGAGAGGGGGTGGCAGACTCATCTGCACACTGTTTCTTTAACCCTTTGAGTCTGAAGGTTTTCTCACTCCTTGGAGGTATGCCCAGCATTAGCCAAGAGACCTTGACAAACAATGCTCAGAGTCCTCATTCTAGCACCTGTTCTCTCTCCAACCCCCTCACCAGCCTCCACAATAGGGACAAGAACAAGAATGGCACCTTCAGCCAGCTGCTCACCTCTGCTAGCCCATCTGCTGTCACAATGATTCTCAGCCAGTGGCTGGTCAGGTTATTGAAACCTGAGCCAGGCAGGGAGGATTCTCTCAGCCTTTAATCAGCCCTTAGGAGCTGAGCTCAGCTGGAAGGAATTCCACCTGTCTCTGGCAGGCCAGCTTGAGTTTTTCCCAGCTGAAGATCCAGGTGTTTTGTCATTTAACTTTTCAAAACCTCCCCAAAGAGCCTGTTCTAACAGCAACTTTATATATTTGACAGCATCTAGGAATACAAATAGAGGTCATTTGAGAGGGCATCTGGATTTGGAACTTGAAATTTCATATAGCCAGGAGTCAAATAATGTGTGCAAACATATGAATTCCTAGTCTCCACTATAGCAGGAGAAAGAACAATAATGTAAAGATGGGGGAAATATGGCTCGGCGCCAACCACATGCACCAGGGCTGGCGAGTTCGAGCGTGGCCCCGGGCCAGCTAAACAACAATGACGACTGCAACAAGAAAATAGCCGGGCACAGGTAGTTCCAACTACTTGGGAGGCTGAGGCAAGAGAATCACTTAAGCCCAAGAGTTGGAGGTTGTTGTGAGCTGTGATGCAACATCACCCTACCAAGAGCAACATAAAAAGACTCTGTCTCAAAAAAAATGGAGGAAATACATAGTCAATATGTAGTCAATGAAAGAAAGCAAAGCCCTGAAGAATACTTATGTGTTAAAAATAATAAGTATGCCTCAGTCCTTTCCTACATGATACATAAACTAAGGTTGAAGAGAGAATGATATGTATGCTGCTGCTCATGGCTCTAGCTGGCAGAGAATTGCATGAGAGAGCCTAGCACAGGCCCAGCCTCTTTTCCTGTGCCTTACATGCCATGTATTCTTTGCTCACAGAATTCTAAGAGTGCCCAGGGTCTGGCTGGTCTTCGAAACCTTGGGAACACGGTGAGTTCTTCCTATCCCACTTCTTTCCCAGACCCATCCCCTACTATCCTGAGTGGGACAATCTTGCCACTTTCCCCTGCTAACTCCCTACCCTCTAAGCTGGTCAGTCCCTGCCTTTCCTGACTAGTGTTTCGCAGAATTGCTGGGTTCTGCCCTTCCTACTCACAGTAGGAAATACTGCTCAAGGGGAGGTGCCCATTTAACTGTCAGCTTGCCACTCTCATGGATGCTTCTCAGGGACATCCATCACTTCCTCCCCACTTCTGTCCAATATGTCCACACCCTTTTGCACACCTCTGTAGTAAATAACCAATTATGTCACCTGTAGTGAGGATTTGCCTCACTTTTGTCCTTTCACTTATAAAAAGAGGAACTGGGGCTATGAGAAGATTAAGTTCTGGGTAGATGAACCAGAGAGCCTTTGGTACTAAGTAATGGAGATGCCGGGCAGGGCTCTATTCTCCCCCACTGATTGTCTGGACTATCTCTTGCAGTGCTTCATGAACTCAATTCTGCAGTGCCTGAGCAACACCCGGGAGTTGAGAGATTATTGCCTCCAGAGACTCTACATGCGGGACCTCAGCCATGGCAGCAGTGCACACACAGCCCTCATGGAAGGTGAGAAACCCCCTGGAGATAGACTGCCTCCTTCCCCTCTTGACTAGGAGTTGGGCTTTAGATATAACGTCTAGTATTTCTTTGCTTACTTACTTTCATTGGGTTCCTAGTTTCAGAGTTTCTCATTGAAAATATCTTATCTGTCCTACCAGAGTTTGCAAAACTAATCCAGACCATATGGACTTCATCCCCCAATGATGTGGTGAGCCCATCTGAGTTCAAGACCCAGATCCAGAGATACGCACCTCGCTTCGTTGGCTATAAGTAAGGGCCTTGCAGACATGTCCTCCCCAGAGTAGGTGGCACCGAGAGCAGGTTCTTGGGACAGGTATTGCTCACTGTCTTGTCTTTGGGTTCAGTCAGCAGGATGCTCAGGAGTTTCTTCGCTTTCTTCTGGATGGGCTCCATAACGAGGTGAACCGAGTAGCACCAAGGCCTAAGTCCAACCCTGAGAACCTCGATCATCTTCCGTAAGTAAGAGGAGAATGCTGTGAGGAAGAAAAACTTTTGTGAATTTGAATTTTTTCGCCTACTTCTTTGGGAGTGATGATTTGGGAATAATCTGTTTTACTTTTGAATATTAAGAATCTAGATCAATAGATCCTTAAACATATGGTTTGAGCTCTGATCCAATTGTTTCCCTCTTGATGCTTCCCAGGGATGACGAGAAAGGGCGACAGATGTGGAGAAAATATCTAGAACGGGAAGACAGTCGGATTGGGGGTAAGTGCCTGGATGGGAAGAAAGCCTACTTTCACTGTTACCTGCATTTGCCTGAGTTGAGCATGAAAAGATTCATTCTCCCAGGAAACCCTGTTTCTACCTAGTGTCCAAAAACCTGAAAAAGGTACAGTGAGATAGAAGACCATGTGTTCACTTCCTGTATTTCAGCATCTCACAACCTTCTCTTCCCCAGATCTCTTTGTTGGGCAGCTAAAGAGCTCCCTGACGTGTACTGATTGTGGTTACTGTTCTACAGTCTTTGATCCCTTCTGGGACCTGTCACTGCCCATTGCTAAGGTACATATCCTGGTTGACCCCCATTGGAACTCCCCCTCTTGTCTTCCATGTCACTGACCTCTGATCTTTGCTTTTTTTCTCTCCCAGCGAGGTTATCCTGAGGTGACATTAATGGACTGCATGAGGCTCTTCACCAAAGAGGATGTGCTTGATGGTGATGAAAAGCCAGTAAGTCATCCTTCAGTAACAGCAAGTACGAGTTGCCATAAAACCCGTCTGGAAAGATGCTGAAACCAGCAGATACAGCCGAGAAGTTAGGGAACTTGGGCCCCACTGACCTATCCCACAAGTTCTAACTCTGTCTTGTCCTGCAGACATGCTGCCGCTGCCGAGCCAGAAAACGATGTATAAAGAAGTTCTCCATCCAGAGGTTCCCAAAGATCTTGGTGCTCCGTATCCTTCAGATCCATTAGGCCAGGGTCTTGACTTCTGAGGGTGACTAATGACAAGGGACCAAAGGGTGGGGAGGACAGAGGAGGAAAAAGCTGAACTTATAGACTTTGCTTGTGTAGTTTGCTCTTCTGCTTCCTGAGAAAAGTGTAGTTGCCCTTTTAGAACTTGGTCTCCTTTAATTTGACTCTGTTCTTGCTCTGCCTGTCCTTGACTCACACTAATACTAGATCTGAAGCGGTTCTCAGAATCCAGGATACGAACCAGCAAGCTCACAACATTTGTGAATTTCCCACTAAGAGACCTGGATTTAAGAGAATTTGCCTCAGAAAACACCAGTGAGTATCTTTCAGCAGGAAGGGAGAATCAGGGCACAAGCGTTAAGATTCCGATGGGGAAGGCAAAGGGATATAGGGAAGCCAGTGGCCTGAGTTATGGAAAGGTTGGAAATAAGATGCGGAAGGGAGAGGGGATGGGAGGGATGAATGCTTCAGAGGCTGGATACCTGTGTTTCCTCCTCAGACCACGCTGTTTACAACCTGTATGCTGTGTCCAATCACTCCGGAACCACCATGGGCGGCCACTATACAGCCTACTGTCGAAGTCCAGTGACAGGCGAATGGCACACTTTCAATGACTCCAGGTGAGAGGACTCTGACAGGGTTCCTAGCTGTCAGACACCGATACCTCCTCTGTCTGCATGGCTTCCACCTCGCATGGACAGAAAGGTCAGAGCCACAAAGCTACATAACACACGAGTCTGCTGCCCTTCCAAGGCTCTCTGAGACCAGGTTAGCCTCAGGGGTGTGATAGATGGGTTAGAGACCCAGCCGGAAGTTTCTGTGGCCACTCAGCCCTAGGTCCTGCTGGCCGCCTCTGGGGCTCTGACGCTCCCCTGCTCTCTCCACAGTGTCACACCCATGTCTTCCAGCCAAGTGCGCACCAGCGACGCCTATCTCCTCTTCTACGAATTGGCCAGTCCACCCTCCCGTATGTAGCAGTGAGGAGCTACGTCCTTTCTCCCTTCCCTGCGGTGGCCCCACACCCTAAGTTTTTTTAAAAGACAAAAAAAAAAACAAAAACAAAAAAAATCAAAAACAAACAAAAGAACCCTGACAAATAAGAGAAAAATAAACTAACATAAAGCTGCCGAGCAGGAGTTGATGCAGCCTGGTCAGGGTCTGGAGCAAGGAGCCGGGTGCTCCTGGGCCGTGGCCCGGCAGGGAAGATCGACTGGACGCCGAGCCCGGAGTCAGCCCAGCGCTCCCTCGGCTTCTCTTGTTTGCATTTTCAAGCTTGTGGTTTTTTCCTGTGTGTAATAAACAACGGCGGTCTGCGGGACAAGCTCCTCGTCGCCCGCGGCCCCGCGCCTCCCGGGAGGACAGCGCCCTCTGGAGCCCGCCGGGAGCATCGCCGCCGGGCGTGAAAATCCCAGCCAAGAGCCTTCGTGACGCTGCTAACTCCAGGGGGACAGATAAGGGGACATCTTCGGAAAAAGCCGGTTTGGGTTTTTAAAAGCCTAACTTTTTTTTTTTAATTCCCATACCTAAAGTTTTCAGACTGGACATGCTCTCCTTCAGACCTCTTCACAGCTGGGATGTTGTACTGGTTCTGTTCTGTTCTTTTTATTTATTTCTTCTTTCTCTCTCACTTCTTTTTTTTTTCTTTCACTCTCTTTCTTCCTTTTCTTTCTTTTTAATTCTTCAAGTACAACTTTTCTAATGCTAGCCCCGTGGTGCTAGGTGGGTGTTGGCCAGGCCCCAAGCACAGCCACAGTAGACCTGGGATATAAAACTAAGTTTTTGGTTTTCGGGTTTGTTTTTTGTTTTTTGTTTTTAATATTTTGGATGGAATCTAGTTGCCTCCAAGAATTGTGCCTTATAGCATTTGGGGACCAGGGGGTAACTGCCCGTCCCTGAAATATCCCTCAGCCTCTTCTCTTTTCCCCAATGCCAGGCTCAAGCCTGCTGAGGGACAGGGGTCGTCCCTTTAGCCCCTGGCTTGTGCACCCACAGTAAGGCAAAGAGGAAAAGAAAGTAGGTGAAAGGGTATTTCTGATGATAGTGTCTCAAGTTCTTCCACCCACTTCCTCTGCCCCACCCCTGGTCTGCTCCCCAGCTGTTTGAAGGATAGCCCCTTATCCCGAGAGCTTCTCACCTTTATTTATTATCTTCTTAGTATCCCTTCCTTCTTGGCCTTCCTACCACCCCTAACCCCTTCTCAGAGCCTCCTAGACATAGGCCCTTTGGACCGAGTTTCTCAGGGATGCCCATGCTCCCCTCAGCTCCTTCTGGCACTGGTCCTCAGTCCTGCCCTGGAAGCTGGAGCTTGGGTATTTGGGGACATCTTGCCTCGGTTGTATGGGTCTTTCCCATGGGCTTGATTTTGCCCTAAGTAGTTGGACAAAACTGTGCTGTCCCAAAGTAAAGCTGTTCAGCACAGGCATGGAGGACCATGCACCTTTGCACACCCACGTGGCTGGGCCTGGCTTATGCCCCTTGGGGCCTGGAGTGTTCAGTGCTCCCAGGAGGAGGAGGCATCAGAGAAAGACACCCTGAGTTTTACTGGCCTGACACCCTTCACCAGGGAAGACCTGTGAACCTGAGCCCAAGGGCAGGTGTACACTTGTTTACTATGTAAGCAAGAGTAGAATGTCTAATGTACAGTGGAACCTTGTACAGAATAAATAATAGCTTTGAGAAATACATTGGTAAATGATGGAATCTTGATTTAATAGGGGTTTGAACCCAGGAAGAGCTCCTAGAGTATGAATCTATTACTCTTTACATATATTTCATTGCTTTAACCAGTTTATAAACTCCAAGTTGTGGAAAATGTTAACCACTGTCATTTTTTAGTATAAACTTTTCAATTCTTTAAAATAGTACACATTCTGGGCTCGACACCCATAGCTCAGTGATTAGGGCACCAGCCACATACACGGGGACTAGTAGGTTCCAACCTGGCCCAGGCCCGCTAAACAACAACAACTACAACCTCCACAATAAAAAGAAAAATAGCCAGATGTGGCGGTGCCTGTCATCCCAGCTACTTGGGAGACTGAGACAAGCGAATCAATCACTTAAGCCCAAGAGTTTGAAGTTGCTGTGAGCTGTGATGCCATGGCATTCTACCAAAGGCGACATACTGAAACTGTGTCAAAAACAAAAAAAGCACACTTCTGAACACTATATTCATTTGGATTTACTGTTAACATTTTGCTGTATTTGTTTATATACAGCCAATCCCCAGGTTACAAATGAGATAAGTTCTGTAGGTTTGTTCTTAAGTTGAATTTGTTTGGAAGTTGGAACAGGTACATTCACCTATTACCTGTGATAGCTCCATTCATAAGTGCAAGTTGTATACATCAGTGGGATGTTTGTAACCCAGGGACTTACTGTAGTAGCCTTCATAAGTGTGAGTTATACAAAGTCAGATATTTGTAACTCAGGGACTGCCCGCTATATACAGTCATCTATAGGTATTCACAGGGGACTGCTTCTAGGACACCACCTATAACCCCCACATGCCCCCAAATCTGAAGTTAGCCCTCCGCATACACAGGTTTTACATCCCACAGATACTGTATCTTTGATCTATGTTTGTTGAAAACATCTGTGTTTGGCTCGGCGCCTGTAGTACTGTGGTTACGGTACACCGAAGGTGGCAGGTTCAAACCCGGCCTGGGCCAGCTAAACAACCGCAACAACAACAAAAAAATAGCCAGGCATTGTGGCGGGCACCTGTAGTCCCAGCTACTTGGGAGACGGAGGCAAGAGAATTGCTTAAGCCCAAGAGTTTGAGGTTGCTGTGAGCTGTGATACCACAGTACTCTACCAAGGGTGACATGATGAGACTGTCTCAAAAAAAAAGAAAGAAAAGAAAAATATCTGTGTTTAAATGGACCCTCACAGTTCTAGCCCATGGTGTCCAAGGGTCAGCTGTATTTTATTCTTTCAGCCAAAACATTTACAGGTGAGGTATTACATCCCCTCAGCATACATCTCCTAAGAATTAGGACATTCTCCTACATAACACTTTTTACACCTAGGAAAATGTTATGTGTATAATAATACACATTTTTTTTCCAATTTATTGTTGGGGGATTCGTTGAGGGTACAAGAAACCAGGTTACACTGATTGCATTTGTTAGGTAAAGTCCCTTTTACAATCGTGTCTTGCCCGCAAAAGGTGTGGCACACACCAAGACCTGCTCTTCCTTTCCCCACCCCCCATTGCTCTCCCCTTCCCCCACCCCCACCATGTCATTGTCATTAATTGCCCTCAATACTACACATTTCTCTTTTTTTGAGACAGAGCCTCAAGCTGTCCCCCTGGGTAGAGTGCTGTGGCATCACAGCTCACAGCAACCTCCAACTCCTGGGCTCAAGCGAGTCTCCTGCCTCAGCCTCCCAGGTAGCTGGGACCACAGGCACCCGCCACAATGCCTGGCTATTTTTTGGTTGCAGCTGTCATTGTTGTTTGGTGGGCCCCGGCTGGATTTGAACCGGACACCTTAGGTGTATGTGGCTGGTGCCTTAGCCGCTTGAGCCACAGGCGCCGAGCCAATACTACACATTTCTTTAAATGAACTACGTACTTGTTACCTGCTGGCCTGGGTTACCCACTTGGTTTGTTGTTGAAACACTTGGGTGCCTGTACAGACCTACCATGAGCCAAAACAGGCCCTTTCTACAAATTTGAATGCCACAAACCTTGCTCTTGGGAGCAGGGGGGCTTTACCTGGAGGTAAAGGGATCAAGGCTTAATCTTTGATAAATGAAAGATCAACTTTGCCTCTAATAATTTGAAACAGTTTCTTTTGGGTTAAAAATTTTGTGGCCTAAAGTGCTTTCTTTCAAGATTCTAAATTTAACCCCTTAAAAAGATTACCTTTTAATTGTCTCCTCTGGTTCTCCTTTGGTTTTATCTCTTCTTTGGTACTGTTCAGTCTTCCGCTTCTGATGCTAGTCTTAGAACTAAGGAGGCTAATGGCTCCACCTGTTGGCCTAGAGCAGCGGTTCTCAACCTTCCTAATGCCACGAACCTTTAATACTGTTAAAAGGGGGTGGTGCCTGTGGCTAAGTGGGCAGGGTGCTGGCCCCATACACTGAGGGTGGTGGGTTTGAACTCAGCCCTGGCCAAACTGCAACCAAAAATAGCCAGGCATTGTGGTGAGTGCCTGTAGTCCCAGCTCCTCAGGAGGTGGAGGCAAAAGAGAATGGCCTAAGCCCAGGGTTAGAGGTTGCTGTGAGCTGTGACGCCATAGCACTCTACTGAGGGCGATAAAGTGAGACTCTGTCTCTAAATATATATACAGTTAAAAGGGGTCACGACCCACAGGTTGAGAACCACTGGCCTAGAGTATCCCATCAGGATTCTTCCTCACTGCCTTCACTGCTCCAGACACTTGAAAAGTCAAGGCCTAACTATCCATCCTTGCTGAGACAGACCACTTGCTGTCAGTTGAGGCCTATGTGCTGAAGTCAAACCACCTCATGGAGGTGGTCAGTAGTGGGGACATTTTTCTGGGCATTTCCCAGAAAATGTCAAGATTGGAAAAGAGGGATCAAAGCAACAATAACTGGAATTTCTCCCTGCGGGACTCAAACTTCCTGGCCTGCCCTGAGAGTGGTCTGACCTAAGGTAAGATTTTAAATGTCAATGAAACCTTAGGCTTGTAGCAAAGTGAATGGGTGAGCCCCAGGTCAATGGAAGTTGTTACACCTCTCCTTTGACGAGTTTTCTTGTGGAGGTAGAAGCTACCCTGGGCGGCACCTCTGTTCTCTTCCACCAGGAAACAGGTGGACTGAAGGTAGCATCCAGGGCAGGGACTCTGCTCAGGCCCTCCACCCTTGCTCCCAGCTCTTTCGGGCTTACCCCATGAGGCTTTCTCAGCCCCATGGCAACCAGCCCCAGTGCCACAGACCACAAACACAGGTCTATCCCCAGGTTTCTTTGCCCCTCAGCTTTGCCTCCTAGCAACTTGGCTTTCTTCCCCCATTCTTTGCTCTCACCCCAGCAGGCGTCTCTCTAGGGGAGGTGCTCCGCCACAACTGCTCTTTCTTGTGTGACCTTGAACAAGAACCTCCATCCTGGGCCACAGTGCCTCATCTGTGAATTAAGGAGATTGGACTAGTGACTCCTGATGGGCTCCACTCAAGTGTTAGCAAATCATTCGGAATCACTTTTCCTCTAAATACGTGCTCAAGAGCCAGACTAGGGGATTTACATACCTCTGGTTCCCTGGTTCCAGTTTAGGGAGTTAATTTTTTTTTGAGAGACCAGTGCTTAGAAAATGCTTATTTCTTTCTATAAAGCTATAGAGTTCGGGTCATAGAGGTCCCCTTGTCCAAACTCTCGTTTTGGCAGTGAGGATTCTGAGCCTTAGAGAAGGCCTGGTTAAGGCCTCATAGCCTTTCAGTGAAATAGACAGGATGAAACCCAAGTATTTTGACTGCCCACCCAGTTCTCTTTCCATCTGAGTATTTTGCATTTTGGTTGCATAATTGACAGCATTTTGCAGGACTTTCTGCAGCAAATTTTCCAACGCTCCATCTATAAGGAACTGAGCTAAATAGCAATGTAACATTCACACACATCCAACAGCAAAACCAGCAGGACCTACCTTCTACCTGGGCCCTAATAGGTCTCTCTGAGCTAAGCACCACTGGGGTCCCCAGCCTTCATTGTTCCGTGGGCACAAATGAGCAGGACGCAGCAGAAACAGACTAGTACTTACAGCCCCCAAAATTGCTTTACGGCCCTGACCCTCAGTTTCTTCATCTGTAATTTAAGCAACATAATGTCTACCCAGAGTTGTGCCTGCCAGTTGAGAAAAATAGTGTCTGGCACATGGTAGGTACTCGACAAATGTGCGTTTTCCCCAGCCCACCCTTAATCCAGGACTACACCATCCAAGCTCCACTGAGATTCTCATGGTGGGTGATCCTCAGCAAATGTTTCATTCTGCTAGCCTCTCTGGATGTCTGAGTTTTTTCTGAACAATACACTTAACAGCCACAGACCAATGGGAGAGGGTCAGGGTCTGTTTGGTTTCTCATGTTCTGATGTCCTATTTAAACAGATATTCAGGCTCAGTACCCATAGCTCAGTGGTTAGGGACACACCAGGACTGGCAGGTTCAAACCCAGCCCAGGCCTGCTAAACAACAATGACAAGTGTGACAAAAAAATAGCTGGGCATTGTGGCAGGTGCCTGTAGTCCTAGCTACTTGGGAGGCTGAGGCAAGAGAATCCTTTAAGCCCATGAGTTTGAGGTTGCTGTGAGCTGTGATGCTACAGCACTCTACAGGGGACAACATAGACTCTGTCTCAAATAAATAAAGAAACATATTAAAAAAAAAAACCTTTGGTGGGATCAGTCCCTAACCCCCCCCCACACACACACACACACAGTGGTATGCAACTGTCAAGGCTTAGGAATGCAAAATGAGGATAGCATTGCCCAAACAGAATTAGTAAGGTAGATACACGTAATTAGTAAGGTGTTCCAAAGCCAAGAAATGATTCCCTTGTATTTAGGGTGACCTGCCTCTTAGTGATGGGATTGAGCTGCTGGCTTCCAAGCTCCTAGAAGCAAGGGAAGACTCAGGAATGGGGGGAGGGAATGAGGGTCAAGGCCAGGGGACGTCAGTGAGCAAGGAAAATAAGTAGCACATTTGAAAAATGTGGTGGCTGGG